AATGCTTGAAGCTAAATACATATTAGAGACCATGACTTGCAAAGTTTTAAGTCCACATGAACGCATGATTTCTCTTCAAAGATGTCAACATCCACTCCCAAGAAATACAAGATTCTAACCTTTCCAGAATCTAAATCTTTTTTTTTTTTTTTAAAGAGAGATTTTTGCTACAGGGTGCATACACTCACCAGAGAGACAGTGACAGAAAGTGAGAACACATCCCCCAGTGGGAATGGCCATACCACAATTCCTTCTCCTCCATTTTCCTCTCAGGATTTTGGGCACGTACACACATGTGCCCAGCGTGAGTTTCAAGCTTCTGGGTCCAACATCAGAACTGCAGTCGGCCATGTGGAAGTCCAGTGACATAAATACTATGCCATCTGCTGGTCCCCAGAATCTAAACCTTTTCCTCCTTTACCCCACAAACTTAGCACCGCTATCATACCCTACCATTCCAGTCATATATTTGGGTCACATCTCTTCAACAGTCAGGAGATTTAACATTAAAGTATAAAATATTTTATAATTTAGCTAATATTAACTTTAAATAGCCAAATTCCTACTTGGATAAGTGGGTTTGACTATTATCAAGGGACTTCAATAATACACGGAACAATGGTACACAGAACATAGCATCTATTAAGGTTTCTGTGTGACAACTTAGCCATGTCTCAGACTATTCTCTGGTGAGGAAAACTATGGAAGCAAAAGTAATTCATGAAACCAACTTCTAGCCTTTTTCATGAAACTCTTAGACACAGTTAAAGAAAAGAAAACATAGCATTAACAAACATTCTAGTATGTTTCTAAGTATACCACCCCAAAACATCTTGTAGGTTTCCCTTTAGTGAATCTATCAACCACAAACTTTGCAGCTTATTTCATATATTGCAGTTTTTTCAACAACCTAAGTAGTTCTATTTATAAATAATCTAACATAGAATACCTCATTTAGGAGCTGGACGGTGGTGCCATAGTGAAATACAGTGCTTTCTAGGTTCCTGTCCAGAGATCTTCCTGAATACACCAGGCACCAATGTGCTGGTGATCTGGGCGGGCTGAGGCTGGGGGTGGATCGTGGTATCAAAACCCTGATGAGGATGCATGCTCTCTCTCACTCAATTTCTTGTGTGCATGCACTCACAGGACAAAATAAAGAATTTTGTTTTAAAAAGCCTCATTTGGGGCCAGCAGGTGGTGTAATGATTAAGGTATTGGACTCCCGTATGGTTGACTAAGGTTCCAGTCCCAGACTAGGTGGCTTGAAACTCACGCTGGAGAGAATGGAGAAGAAGGGATTGCAGCGTGGCCATCCCTCCTGGGGGTGGAGCGGGTATTTCTCACTTTTTGTCTCTCTGTTTCTGTCTCTCCAGTGAGTGCACACGGGCTATAGGGCACATGCACCCTATTCTCTCTCAAGAAAAAATAAAAGTCTCACTTACCTATAGGTATATAAAAATCTCAATTAAGTAGGTCATATCGAAGCATCTATCAGGAGTAGAATACACCCATGAACATAGAAGCAGAAGGCCCGAAGGCCTGTACTCACTGCAAACTCCTGGGTTTCTCATGCAGAGTCAGCTTTTTTATTTATTTATTTATTTTTGAGAGAAAGATTTTTGCTATAGGGTGTGTGTACTTGCTGGAGAGACAGAGAGGGACAGAGAGATAGAAAGCAAGAAATAACCCCCTGGGGAGATGGCCATGCCACAGTCCCTTGTCCATTCTCCTCTTGAGATCTTGGGCATGCAAGCACACGTGCCCAATGTCAGTTTTAAGTCACTGGGTTGGACTCAAACTGAAATCGACCACGTAGGAGTCCAGTGACATAACCATTCCACCGTCTGCTGGTCCCCAGTGTTCTCTTACTGTGGATATAACTTTACCAAGTTTGGTTATCAGGTTTTCTTTTTAATAAACTAAGGTCCTATGTTGTAATTATAGACATGTGAAAGACTGATGTCAAAGGTGCCACTTACCACTCCAATATTTTAGAGGTTTAATCACTGTCTATGATTATTGTTTAAAAGAAAATCCATGGGTTCTACCAAATGTCTCAGAGTTGATATTTGATGGAATTACTGAAAAAAAATCTTAATGATACTCTGAAAGTATGAGATATTAAATGCCAGTTACTAAGTGAATATTGTTTCCCATGCAATATGCTAATATATCCTATACATATTACTCATCTATATACAGTTGGTCCAGATGCCCAACTCCCAAGAGTTTATATATTTTCAGTTTACAGAGCTTGTTCCCCAGTTGGTTAGAGAAAGTGTGAAATTTCAAAGAGATCCATTAGACTTTCAGACCAATGCTCGCAACAATTTTTTCTTTTAAAATACTTTATTTTATTAGTGAGAGAGTCCTGAAATAGGGAGAAAGAGAGAGAGGGAAGGACAGCATTTCTAACAAGGTTTTGACTTCATAATCTACCACCTAGCTTTTGACCTGCCCCAGATCAAAGGCTCTGGTATGCTCAGGGTGCTTGGAAAAGCCTCTCAGACAAGGAATAGGTAACATTCCCTGTGGGACTACCTTGCAAAGCATGAAGTCACACTCTAGCCCCTCTTAACAACCTTCCATAGGATCTCTGTAATTTAAAAGATAACGACTTCGGAACCAGCAGTTAGCGTAATGGCTATGTCGCTGGACTCCCACGTAGTCGACCACGGCTTGCGTCCTGGACCCAGTGGCTTAAAACTCATGCTGGGCGCATGTGCGTGTGTGCCCAAGATCCCAAGAGGAGAATGGAGGAGAAGGGATTGTGACGTGACCATGCCACCTGGGGGGTGATTCCTCGCTTTCTGTCTCTATGTCTCTCTCTGTCTGTCTGGCGATCGCCCTATAGTGAAAACATCTCCAAAAAACAAAAATAGATAATGACTTAAAAGTTCACAGGAGTAGGCCATTGTCACTTAAACAGTATGTAGTAAGGATGCCAGTACAACACAATCATTCCACAAGTTGTGAAAGAAATTTCTTTAGATACCATTACCTCCTTCAAAAACAGCCTTCTCTCTTTTTTCTTTTTTTTTTTTTAGACTTTTTTGCTATAGGTGTGTACACTCGCCAGAAAGAGATAGAGAGAAAGAAGGGAGAAATCACCCACCCAAGATGGATGGCCACGCCACAATCCCTTCTCCTCCATTCTCCTCTTGGGATCTTGGGCACACATGCACACGTGCCCAGCATGAGTTTAAGCCACCGGGTCCGGGACGTGAACCGCGGTCGGCTACATGGGAGTTCACCAACATAGCCATTACACTACCTGCTGGTCCCGAAAAACAGCCTTCTTTTTTATATTCAATGTTAAAGATACAAAAGCTCCAACACACCACTAGAGAACAGGGGTTATTAAATGTCAATTATTTAAGATACTATAATAGTAACTGCTAATTCCTATTCAGGGCTTCCTATGTGTCAGGTACTATGCTAGGCATTTTGCTTACATTATCTTATTTAATCCTCATGACAAATTTAAGAGGCTAAAAGAGGTTAATTGCCTAAACTTAAGGAAAATACTCTTCCACATTTAAATTTTTACAAAGAGAGAGGTTTAAGCTAGTTTTTAAGCTGACAGTTTAAAAATTAGAATAGATCGACTTCTCCAGAAGTCAAAACACACAACAACATGACACATTACTTCTAATCTAGTATTCAGCATTAAAATAAAATAAACTAATATTTGAAATTTGTGGTACACATAACAAGTATAACATTTTTAAAAATTGTATATGATTTCACAAAGTTTCTACTCTAGTCATGGGAAAATAAAATTTGGATCTTCACATATAAGAGAAACATATATAAAACCATTTTTACATATCTTATTTTAATAAAACCTAATCTCTAACACCAAATAGTACAAATGAATTAAAGGAAGAATAAGAAATTTTGTATCTTATCCTAAGACTAAACACAGAAATGAATAAATTGGAAAACAAAGCCAACTGCCAGTTGGCTTACATTAAAATCATTAAAATGGGGGCCAGCAAGTGGCATGGTGGTTGAGGCCCTAGACACTCCAACATGACTGACCACAGTTTGAGTCCTGGACCTGGTGGCTTGCTTTCTCACTTTCTCTCTCTCTCTTTCTGTGTCTCTGGTCAAATTAAAATAAGTGAATGAATAAATCAATTTTAAAATTCTTTTAAAAAATTTAAATTAAAAAAAATCATAAAACAAACAAAAAAATCCTAGTTCAGGTGATCAAAACACATCTTTACAACTTCTCAGTCCTAAGATAAAGAAACACCAGTGGATAGCCATATCACTATTTGGGAAAGCAAATGGCAAGTTATTGAATGGGAAGCAAGTCAGAGTCTTTGGAAAGAGCACAAAAATATTCACTTTCATTGAGTCCAGTTTATGTAGGCTAAGTATGACAATATTCTATTTTCCCCACAAAGACTTCTGTTTCTGAAATATTTTTACTTCCTTCTTGAAATGTCACAATCTTTTTTTTTTTTTTTGAGAGATTTTCACTATAGGGCGCGTGCGTTCACCAGACAGAGAGAGACATTAGAGACAGAAAGCGAGAAATCACCCCCCAGGGGGGATGGTCACGCCGCAATCCCTTCTCCTCCATTCTCCTCTCAGGATCTTGGGCACGCACGCACACGCGCCAGGCGTGAGTTTTAAGCCACCGGGTCTGGGACGCGAACCGCGGTCGACTACGTGGGAGTCCAGCGACATAGCCATTACGCTAACTGCAGGTTCCCGAAATGTCACAATCTTGAGTAGATCAATTTTAAATATATTTGTTAGATATGGCCACATTAGTAAACTTAGAATACGTGAACACATTATTTAAGAATCTTCCTGCTTAATAGAATTAAGAAGTTGCAAATTTTGGTAAAATAAACTTTCATTGTCTTTGTTAATAATAAATTTTTCTTACCTTTGAATAATTTGAAAGCAATCACTTATTGGATAATCAAGCATGTGACCCTGAAACAATTATTTACAAAATTTAGTTCCAAACTACCTACCCCTTCTTGTTTAGTGAAGAGATTAAGGCAATCAGTCAAAGCTACACAAGTTTCTCTAGAAGCTTCAGAGACAACTTCAACTTTCTGTAGAAATGATGGAAGCATTTCTAAAATTAAAAAAAGAAATAAAATAAATACAATGAGTAGGATTTAAAGTAATCTTTTAGTAAACTAAGAAGAGAAAAATATTTTGTATATCTTCTACATGGTTTCTTCCAGCTGTCTTGAAAAGCATATACATAATATGGTTTTGAGGTGTCTTTACCAAGTGCCTGCTATATTCATGGCACATATAATAAGTAGGAACAGAAAACGAAAGGGCAAAGTATTTTGGGGCAAAATATTTTCCCCCAAAGATCTATTCTGTACAGGAAAAGCCAAGATTAAAAAATGGTTTTAGGAATCAAATAATAATATAATGGAAAAGCAGCTGAGAAGCACTGATAGCACTACTTATAAGAGATTAACATTTCCTTTCAGGATATTATATGCTAGGTAAGCCATTTTATTTGAAAGAAAGTGTTAAAAAGAGACAAAAATAATTCTGTAGTTGTTATAGTGGCTAATACATCTGAAAGAGGCATTAACTCAACTTCCTCTAGTTCTTACTTGGATGAATGTTTGGCATAAATAGGTCTCCTTCTCAAAAACTTGTTATGTTGGAGATCTGTATCTTTTAGTATATGTTTAGGTTGAAAACAAACAAACAAACAAAAAACCGGTAGCATCAGTATCTTTCCTGGCCCCCTAAAGAAAATTTTAACCTACTTACCAATTAAAAATGAAAACAAAACAAAACACAGAGTGTTGGCAAGAGAAACTACAAAATGCACATATATCACTTAAAATGGGTCAACTTTGTTATCCTGTCGAGATTAATGCAGGAGAAATGTACTCAGTTCAGAGTTTCTGATTTTCTGCTTATTATACATTAAGGTCTTTTATATCTGTCCCTTCCATCCAATAAATTCTTTTTTTCTTTTCCTAAGAGAGATTTTTGCTACAAGGCACACGCACTCACTGGTGAGACAGAGAAACAGAAAGTGAGAAATCATCCCCCGGGGGTATAGCCATGCCATAATCCCTTCACCTCCATTCTCCTCTTGGGATTTTGGACACACACGCACATGCACCCTGCGTGGGTTTCAAGCATCCTGGTCCAGGATTCAAACTGCAGTTGGCTATGTGGGAGTCCAGTGACATAACCATCATGCCATCTGCTGGTCCCACCATCAAATAAAATTCTTAACATTGAAGAAAGCTTTAAATCAAAATAACTTCAAGGGGAAAGACAATAACATTTGTAGCATTCTTTGTATTCCAATAATTTTGACTTAAAACAGGATAATAAAAGGTCAATAAACAAAAGCAATCAAGTAAATCCACCTGCTAGCAGTTTGCAAATATTATACCATAAAAGACTGGCTCCTATCAAGATAAAAAATGTTTCAAATGTGAAAAGGAATGATAGTGTAAAAGAAAATAAAATGTAAGATTCTGTCATTAAATATACACAACATATTAAAACAAATCTGTTGGGAACATATACCAAATTATTTATAGACATATTTCTGGCTGATAAAATTAGAAATATTTATTCTATTTTCAAATTTTTCCAAATTTTTTACATTAATGTCATTGGTTTATTTAAGCAAAGACAAATCCTTTTCTTTGAAAAATTATTTCTCTAAATTCAGAAAGCAAAAGTGGACAACCAAAGGAAAAGTTTGGAGTAAATGAAAGAAGGAATGATCACCTTTCATTAATACAGGATACGAAGACCAAATGATATCTCATCAAGGTTTTCATCTTATGGTATACTGTTCCTAGTGTTAGCTAGTCCTAATAATCAAAATAATTGAAAACTACTATGTTCTAAAATAAGCTTGACTTTACATACACTTTCATTTTGAATCTTCGATACGCATTGTGAAAATGTATCCCCTACTTAGTTGCTAAATAGCAGCAGAAAGTGCCATATGCTAGCTGCCATATGACTTAAATAGTATCTCAGCAGATGTCTCACACAGAGCTGTGGACCAAGTACTGAGAGAAGACACACAAGAAAAACAGACACAGCCTCAGTCGTCCATAAATTTTCTGGGTAATCTAGTAATTTTCCACTTTCATGACACAAATGATAGGAAGTTGGAGGCATTATAATCGATGGATATGTTTTTTACACTAAATATCATCACATACTTAATCATCCCCGGTCTATGTTTTAGATGTTTCATACTTAAGATACTTGTTGATTAACATAAATAAGCAGTTGTTGTCCAAATACATTTTTAGGAATACTTACAAGTGTTTAAAAAAAACAAATTCTGCAAGTTTTTGAAAGAGACTCCAAATACATATGTACTATATATTATATATCATTTATATTTCATATTTTATATGTTATACAATATACACTATACATAATGTGAATACATAGACAAGTTTTTAACAAAAATTTATCTATAGAGAACATCATTTTTGGGGGGTCTAAAACAGAGTCAAAAGTTATCTAATTTCTCTGACAATCTATTGTCAAAACATAATTTTAAAACAAATATTAACTTGTGGGGCTGGCAGGTGGCATGGTGGTTAAGGGCGCTGGACTCCCATGTGACTGACTGGTTCTAGTCCCAGACCTGGCAGCTTTAATCATCCCCGGTCTATGTTTTAGATGTTTCATACTTAAGATACTTGTTGATTAACATAAATAAGCAGTTGTTGTCCAAATACATTTTTAGGAATACTTACAAGTGTTTAAAAAAAACAAATTCTGCAAGTTTTTGAAAGAGACTCCAAATACATATGTACTATATATTATATATCATTTATATTTCATATTTTATATGTTATACAATATACACTATACATAATGTGAATACATAGACAAGTTTTTAACAAAAATTTATCTATAGAGAACATCATTTTTGGGGGGTCTAAAACAGAGTCAAAAGTTATCTAATTTCTCTGACAATCTATTGTCAAAACATAATTTTAAAACAAATATTAACTTGTGGGGCTGGCAGGTGGCATGGTGGTTAAGGGCGCTGGACTCCCATGTGACTGACTGGTTCTAGTCCCAGACCTGGCAGCTTGCTTTACTTTCTCGCGCTCTCTCTCTCTCTCTCACTTGCTCTCTCCCTCTCTGGTCAAATTAACATAAATAAATAAAGTTAAATAAGATAATTCTAAAGAAAAAACAAATATTAACTTGTACAGTGGCACAGTTTAAGAACTGATGAACCCAGGCATATGCTCCACTGCAGAATATCAGAAGCCAGGCAGCTCACAATGGCATACTTCTTACATAATGATGTTTACATATTATTACATAAAAAGAAATAAAGCTGCTAAGCTTCTAGAAAAGTGACCAACTGGGAATCACTGCAAAGATATCTTAGTTAATATTTGGAGACTAAACTGTCAGGTGAAATGTAAAAAGGCTATTATGTTACCTTATTTGGTTTACTATAAAAATCTGAAGCTTTTGATTTTGAGGAAAAAGATATTTCTGGGCTAAAAATATTTCTGAAGACACAAAAGCTGCTGGAAGATCATATTGGAAAAGCTTAACTTTAGAGACAAGTATAAAAGAACTCACAATCTGTTGTTTTTCATGATTACACCATACAATTTTTAACTGGGTAAGTTTTTAAAGTAGTGGGAAATAACTTGGTTTTTCTTTTTTCTTTATGTTTTAACAAACGAACCCTAATACAAACCACCCTCGTTATTTTACTAATATAGAAAAAGTCCACATTCCTTGGCCTAACATTGTAGATGCTCTATAAACGGAATCAGTTTAATCCATTATGTTTACCTAGAATCAGCCTTCTGGACTGCCTCCAAACCTTTGTTCAAAATGATTCCTCTTTTCTAAATACTGGAAATAATAATAACTCAAATTCAGAAGTTTCTCTACTATACAAAAATATTTCTCGCAGGTCTAGTTCAAAGGCCATCCTCCCCATGAAGCATTCATCATATATAGTATGAGATGTCACTTCTCTGCTGGACATCAACAGAAGCCAAACAGACTCGTAACGGATAACATGGGGCACAGCATGAATGCTGAATCTCTGCCCCCCTCTGTAAACTCTGAACCTCCTTACTCCTCAAATATCCTGCACTGAGCTTTCTTCGAAGAGGAGACTCAAATATTTATGAGACGAATAAGGACATAAAATATGTTATTTATACAATTTGCAGAGAAAATTCAAATAGTTATGTATTCTTCTATTTATATCAAAACAACCATTAAACTTTAGTTAGAAAATGTAATATAAAAACACAAAAGAGTGAGAAACAGGTAATTTTAAACTACATGCTATTTCTTAATTTGTGGTACAAGAAAATATGCTTTGCTTCTTTTTTTTTTTTAATCTTTCTTAGCTTTTTTGACATTTACCTACTTAAATATTTTTATTATTTTGGACAGATATTTAAAAGAAAATATTGGATGAATGACATTTACTCATTCTTTCCTCATTCTTGCCCTTTCTGGTAAAGATGCTACCTTAATTTTTTTAATTTAATTTTATTTGCTATTATTATTATTATTGGGGGGAGAAGCTTTAGCTACAGGGTCCATGCACTTGCTGGAAAGACAGAGATAGGGAGACAGATGGCCACGTCATAATCCCTTCTCTATTCTCCGCTCGGTATCTTGGGCACACATGTCCAGCTTGAGTTTAAGCTACCAGGCCCGGGACTCGTACTGCGGTTGACCATGTGGGAGTCCAGTGACGTAAACATTATGCCATCTGCTGGTCCCATTATTATTATTTTTAATTAGACCAGAGAGAAACAGAAAGAGAGAGAGAATGGGAATGTGAAAAAGCAAATTGACGGATCCAGGACTTGAACCATGGTCAGCCATGTGGGAATCTACTACCTTAACCACCACTACCATCTTCTGGCCCCCATTGTTTTTTTTGTTTTGTTTTGTTTTGTTTTGTTATGTTTTGGAGAGGTTTTCGCTATAGGGCAGTGCGCTCGCCAGACAGACAGAGAGAGACATAGAGACAGAAAGCGAGAAATCACCCCCCAGGGGGGGATGGTCATGCCGCAATCCCTTCTCCTCCATTCTCCTCCCGGGATCTTGGGC